CATTTTGTCCCTGACTTGTTTGCCCAACCCTATTGTAAATTTGGTGGTTGTGTCATTTTAACTTTATACTTTCTGTGGCACCCTGCATAGGTTGATCCACCCAGCAGCCACTCAATTAATTCTTGATTAATATTATTTTTTAGTTGCCACATTATAATAGTAGGGCTGAAGATAGTGTTACTTCCTCTCTCAACATTAATTTTAGTGCCTTGAGATGTTTTACCCTAATTTGTTGCAATCTAGGAATGTTCGTTCAAAAGTAACAGTAGATAGTAGTAAATATATTTAAAAAAAAGTTATAGATATTTTTCCCTGTCCTAGGAAATATAGCTTAGTTCTTTATAACACTTGTGTTGTTGTCTTGCCTTTCATTTTGTATGACTAACTTTTTCTACCAAATTGAATAAGCCATTAGCTTTTAGTCTGCAGGAATGTGGATCCATAGATATTTCCCATTAGACAAAAGAAAATCTTTAAAAGCGATATCCCCTGGGGCTCAGTCTGCCTAGCGGCCTAATGGTCTAAAGCACTGCTATACTGTACCCTTATGAGAAAGAACTATGTTGGGTGATTCCCTTGACATCCAGAATTATTAATTGGAGAGATGTGCACATCCTTTCAGATAACTTTAAATTTTGTACTATACCACATTTATTAATCAAATATTCAGATTCAGGGAATTCATTTCATAAATTTTTTATTTTTAAATCTATTACCGAACAAAATTATAAACCTTGTATATCATGTGTAGTTTTAAATTATAGTTTGCTGAAATAATGAAACATAGTACTATATTTAGATAGCTGTGTTGTTTTTATAAGTTTTTTTTTTTTTAAACTTCACTTCAAAAAAGACCTACACTGGTGATAATTGCAGAGCTCTGTGAATATACTAAAACCCACTGAATTGCATACTTTAAAAGAGTGAATTGTGTGGTATGTGAATTATATCTCAATAAAGCTGTTATTCTAAAAAAATTTCCACTGCACAAAATGTTTTCATAGGTGCAAAGTAATAGAATTTCAGTTTATATTCACAATTCATTTGAAAAATTATTAGCTTTAGAAAACATTTAAAGCTTTAGAAATATAAAATTATGTATGACTTAAAAAATAATTTGTTCTTATTCAATAGTAATGCATGTTTATTATAGAAACTTCAGAAACTATAGACAAGAAAGAAGACATTTAAAAAAATGTGTGGGTCATTTAATATTTACATCTACCATGTATTCTATCCTTAAACTTTTCCTATACTTAACTACTTCCTTTATATCCATACTTTTCCTGCTAGTTATTAGTAGTAAATAGCTTTTCATGACCATGTTTTGAAAGCAATCAGATGTAAATATTTTCTTTTAAGAGTAATTTTGTGAAAGCATTGGCTTTCCACCCCCCCCCGGACTATGAGAGGTGTACGTGAGGGTGAGCAATAACATCATTATCTAAAAAGAAATACATAAAGATATTACACAGTAGCTTTTGAAATACAGTAAGTTTGGGATGTCATTATAAAAACTTGCCCTAAAACATTTTAGATTTAAAATGAAAACTGGAATCTTTGATAAATAATATTGTGACATTGGTTTTAATGTAGATAGAATATTTTTCTGCCTTTTAAAAGACTCTTGTTATCGTGTTTAGCTTTAGCTTTCTAATAGCTAAAATTGTTCACAACACTGTTTAAAGATAAATTCAATATCAGGCTTTGATTTATTTTTTATTTTTTTTGTAAATATTAAGACCTGGGTACAAGATGAGGGCTGTATTGTGGATTAAGCGAAATATCTCAAGGCTGTGCTGTTCTGATAACTGAACCTGAAGTGACCTTTCTCAGACACAATTACAGAGCTGTATGTTTTTCCTTTAATTTCATCAGGGGTTTAATTAGTATACAAATAAAACTTCCCTTATCTTCCTTTCTACCTAATTGGCTTGTCTTCGCTTATATATGAAGTATGTGAAAGTGGGCTGTAATTAGGATGACCGTGTTAACCTTTTTTCCTCAAATGTACTGTTGCCTAAAGGCCTCAAGGCCTAAAAACAGTGCTTTGGATTATTGCTTTGCAATCACTATGGCTGTCCCATAGGTTTTCTCATGAGCAGAAGGGCTTTGGGTGCTGCAGGTTCCCACTGCTTAACAGGATCTTCATTCTTCTCCCCACTAAATGTTTATTGATTATCTCACTGTTCCAGGCTCAGCCTCCAACAACTTAATATCAGGTGACAGTCAGGAGAGTTCTCCAAGTAATTAGAGTTGAGCATTGGGGGAACAATTAGGAGCAGAGTTATTAAACTTGATTTATCCTATTCTCTCCTGAACAGTTTCTTGGATATCAGAACATCACACTTTCACAATCTACCCTGGTTGAGAAATTAGTGGCTAACCTGCTGGTTATCATTGTTGCCTTGCTGCCTAGAGGCACACCCTCTTGGTTTCAGTCATTCAGTTGGAAATATTACAGTCCATAAAGTTTATCATGGGTTTTAATTAGATCAGTCTGAACAGGAGAAAGAAAAGCTGAACTTAAAATTTTATGTATGTGATATATATTATATATGAGATATATATGTAAACATATATGCTGTATATATATATATACATATATATATATATATACACACACACACACACAAATATATTTTTCTTTAAAGCTCACTGTTAGGATACTTAAAGATTCTATTTTTGTTATTAAAAAAGGTGAATATTAGGGAAAATGCATTTTCTCAAATCACTTTTTATGTTTTTGTGCCTTGCACACATTCCCATGAACCTTAGGACCTACCGATGTATGTAGATTTCTTTACGATGTCCCCCAACTCTTTAAAATGAGAATCCTTTGTCTATAAGTTATATGACTATGACTTTTTTTTTTAGAAAAGCTATATTATCTTTTCATTTTCACTCTCAAGGAAGTATGATTTATATCACTTTGTTTATCCACTTTTTGTTCCTTTTCTATGCCCCCGAAATAGTGTAAGCTTTAAAAGAGTTGGATGGCTCCCTGTCATTGCTCCTGAGAGATGAAAATGAAGGAGTGGAAACAACAAGATTTAGATATATAGTAGAAATTCTAATGCTGTGAATTATATCTTCTTTGAAAGTATATCATAGGATTGCTGAAATGTTAAGTGTTGTTTTATAATGATTCCAAGGTCATGGATTCTCTCAGATTGGACCAGCGAGCTTCAATCTAGACAAGGCTGGAGACAATATACTAAACCATGGATAGTCCCCCCACAAACATGGACCTCTAGAGTTACCGAACAAGAGAATTTGAATAGATTGGCACAGATTTATTATTTCCGTTGGAAAAGGAATTTAAGCTTTATGCATACTGGTGCATATCTAAAAAACAGCATTTTTTATTGCCTGGAATATGTCAGAAATACTGACTTTAAAAGGACTCAAATGGGTTTTATTTTTTTAAATAAAGAAATCATGATATTTCAGTGCCTTTAACTATCTTAATATTGGCACAAAATTAGTAGGTTTAGTGTGGTTTTTAAAATCTATTCTTTGTCATTTTGTTAAAGTTGGTTTGAATCAGTGACTATTTCTATGGTGGAATGCTCTTAAAGATCTCTTAATAGTAAAGATTTAAAATGAAATACAATATCTAATAAGTAATCACAGTTTGCTTATTTTAATTTTTTGAATTGTATTTATCTGACAGCAACTTGACTTTGAAAAATGAAGTACTGAATTTAAAAACTTTTAACGTTTTTAAATACCTGGTTTGACTGATGATTGCTTTCAGTTCACCAGCATTTAGAGTGAATTAATTGCTTTAGCTCCATGTAGGCAGCTTGAGTTTTTATACTAATCATTGAGAATGCATTAAAAGATGCTGTTGGAAAAATTTTAAACATGAAATTACAGCATTTTGCTTATTCTTTACTGGAGTTTTGAAGCACAGTTGTGGATGTTAATGTGTGACTAAACTCTTAGTAAGAAGAAAAAAATGTTATGTGTATGCAGTCAATTGTTTAGCTCACTGTCCAACAAATTTAATTGAAAAAACTGATAAACTTACTCTAGAAATTTTATAGGCAAAGGAAATAGCAGAATTTTAGTGGTAACAGATCCTCTGGTCCCCATATTATTTTGCATCCTAGAATTTAAAATGAGGTCTAGAAAATACTTTAAATTGTGAGTTTCTAAGATCTTAAGTCCCAAACATTCAAGATAAAGTTGCACAATAGCATCTTGAACATTTTCTGCTTGGTGAATATTTCAGATTAAGGCAAATAGCAAATATCAATCAATAGATTTTATACTTCTGTGACTTGGGATGTATTTATGGAGCATATATAATTCTGAATGCAAGTATTATTCATAACTTTCTCTATTGGTTGAAACATTTCAGTCACATTTGTCTTGCTATCCTTTACGTGAGAGCCATTTACTAGGAAGCTAATTTTTAAGTGAATATTATTTTGGAGTCTAGTTCGTTTGTCCACTGAGATGTCTATAGCAATCTATTATAGATTTATTTATAAAGAAAGTAGTGGTACTTTTTAATCTTGAGTTCACCATTCTGTTGTAGGTATTCTAGTCAACCTATCTCTCAATCACATACACACTTTGGGCATATAATAGTCCTTTAACTCTAGTTCTATTTAGAGTTAAATAGACTCTAAATTTCATGTGCTTTCTCCCCTGACACCTTTATTTTTTTCATCATTAAAAGAAAACACAACCTGAGATTTTTATAATTAGATATTCTTTTTAGTAAGAATACAATTTATTTGCTTTACAGTATTTTAAAAAATAAAGTTGTGTTTTGTAGACAAACATTTTTCAAAATCTTATCAGTTCTGTCATTTCTAATTAGTAAGTATATAAAATTTTTGCAGAAAATTTGTTAAACCTTGATGTGTAATGACCCAAGTCTACTTTTCAGTCAGTCTGTATTCTTCTTTGTTTAATAGCCTATGGCATAAATTGAAGTTAATTATCAGGGCTGACAAGTAACTCTGTTTTCTGTCTGCTTGCAGAGTCTCTCCGAGGCAAAGATGGAGCTGAGAAGAAAAGATCAATCTCTGCGTCAGCTCAATAGACATCTTAGCCAGCTGGAGCAGGACAAGCGTCGACTGGAGGAGAACATCCATGATGCAGAGAGTGCCCTCCGCATGGCAGCCAAGTGAGCATTTGGACCTTGGGGAGATCACTTAAAACAGACAAAAGATCAATTCTTACTTTCATGCTCCGAGTTTTAGCCCTGGATAATACAGTGTTAGAAAACAAAAGTACAGCTGTCTTTCTTTGAAATTCTCTGATATATCCTCAAAAAAGAAAATTCTTAACTCAACATACTAAGTATATATTTTATTGAGAAACCTCAGAAAAGTATAAGCTTCTACATAACCTCTAATTATGTGTATTTTGGGTTCTGTTGTAGGTGTTACATATTTGAAACTGTTTTTATTAGTGTGAAATGTAAGACTCTTTATTTAAAAGTTTTGCATAGTACCTGCTGCAACACATTCTTCATCCCTTTCTGCCCCACTGCCCCCCAATTTTGCTGTGCTTCTGTCAATTTACTAATATTGCAAGTAATATTTGCATAAAGAAATGTCAGTATACAACATATGTATCATAGCATTTAAAAAAAATGCAATAAAAACATATTGATCATGGAAAATTCATTTAATTTTATAGCTATATATTCAAATATGTTAAATAGTTTTCAGACTGGGCAATTATGTAAATGTGATGAGAGTGTTTTTTCTTTTACTAGGTAATCAAGTTAACATACACTGTGAAGTTCAAATTGAACAGTTCTCTTAGGCATTGTTATTTGTTCCCCACATCAAATTTCATGGAATACTTTAAGACAGTCAGTCCTTTGTACAACAGCATGGCTTAGAAAATCTATTTAAGGATTAAAGCAACATCTAATTTTAATAAACTCAGTGTTTTCTAAATTTGGAGTTCTGAATTCCTATACTTGCAAATGTTAATTAAAAAATTTTTTTGAGAAGAACTCATGTTAAGCATAAAATATCATGAAATATGAACGTAGTCTTTATACTACAGAATGTAGTCTGTAGGTCACAGAGCATGGAATCTGCAGTCTTAGGATGTCCATAAACTTTGACCCTGGGCTTGTGACATTGCTCAAGCATAATGAAAAAATGAATTGACACAAGGCCAAAATATTGTCATGTTGCAGATCCACAAATATTTTTTTCTGGAAAATTATAAAGCTATGTAACATTGCACCACCATATTAGGTATATGTAATTGTCTTTTAAAAAAATTTTTTTGACTAAGTCATTTTTTGTTGTCATTGTTCACTCTCAATTTCCTCATATCAAATCAGAGGCTTAGCCTGCATAATTTCCAGTGAGTCTTATAGCTCTGAAAAAATTCTGAGATTAATGAAAACGGAATTGTGAAACCTCAGGATTCATACTGTGTTTTAAGAAGATTGCTGTTAATTCAGGAATTTGACATGTCTATAAATTGTGACCATGGGCACATATTCTTATAAAACTGAAGAAAGCTAATTTGTAATTTGGAGAGCTAATACGTTATTCACAGTTTTCAATTTATAATTTACCTTTAAATTATTGTCTTCATTTTCATTCAAAGTTTTTGTTTCATTATGAGAGCTAATAGGAGAAACTCATAACTTTGCATAGTCTTGGTCGAGTCATGGAGGATTTTTTGTACAATTATTATAACACAAAGAAGACTCTGTAGAAAGGAGAATATTATTTTGCATAGTATGGCCATTTGTAATACATCCCCATCCCTAAGATTTAAAGTCTTTTTTCTTTTTTTTAAAACTTTTAAAAATCCCCCTCACCACTGCCCCATTTGAGATAGATAGCATAATTGAGATAACAGTTAAATGTAGGAAAGATCAGTGAATATGATTGGGTTTTACACTTTTAAAAAGATAAGAATGACAACCAACCCTTATTTTTCAATAAGTTACTTATAATAAAATGTGTAACAGTTGTAGTAGGCTTATGTTTTGCTAACACCTAATTTTTCCTTTATTTTTTCTAGAGATAAAGAATGTGTTGCTAATCACATGAGAACAGTTGAAAATACACTTCATAAGGTACTGTAATTTTTTAATATTTTTCAATTCGTTTTGACTTTTCTCCTAGTCTTTTTTTTTGATTAACAATACAGTACTTTAACTCATTTTATAACTTTCTTTAAAATAAATTAAAAGATACTTTAGAATATTATTAAATGATGACTGAAAATTTACATTATGTAATGCTATATTACATACTTTTTTTCAGAATTCACTTTACTTACTTGAAAAAACTAGAAAAATAGTGGTTTCCCCAAACTGCTGTAATTGCACTTGAATTATTTGTGGTCTTTGCTGAAAGAACCAGAGGTCATTAAGATTCTCACATGCCTCATAATGACAAAATGTTTGACCACACTGTCAAACCTCTTGCCACTCTTAAACCAACTGTCCTATAAATGTATATATAGAGATGTAATGTATTTTATTTGGCAATATTCATATACCTTAACTAGGCAGTAACATTATTCAAATTGAAATTTACTTTCTTACTTATAAGAATGTGTTCTTAAAGTAGAAATTTAATATATTTAATAATATTCTATTATTTTCAAATTTGGTTACTTCTGTATGATAAGCTCTGACTTTTAATTTGTAGTGATCAACAGCATAATAAGGGTGTTATGATTTTAGTAAAAACTTAATATATTAACCGACTATATATTTTGTTAGTACTCCACTACAAATTCAAGGACATATTCATTATTTCATTATTTAAAAATAGAGAAATGTTATTTATGTGTTTCTGTTATTGTCTAATGACAGTTTGTGGAAAATGCGAACATCTAGTGCTTTTAAGATGTATGGAATTTATGAATGAATCATATTTAGAACAATTTTGTGAATCAAATTTATTATATAATATAGTTTTATAAATCACTTAAGATACCCTAAAACTAACCTTTTAAAGGAGATATTAAATAAACATTAGTAAACTAATATTTAATCTATTTTAATATTTTAAAAACACTGGGCTTTTGTATTTTATATTTTGAAAGTGACTAGCATTATTTCATATCAGTAGCATTTTGAAAGAAATTTAATTTTCTGAGTGCTATTTTCTTTTAAGTTTGTTTAAAACTATGATTCTTCCCCCTCCCCATTTAAAAAAGTTTAACTAGTCAGTATAGTTTAAATGTAGTCAAATCAAATTCATATATGCTACAAATCTGAAGTTTAGATTTACAGTTAAAAAGACATCTTTGGTTAGATTTCTTTTTTGTACTTGGTGAATAGAGAAGTCAATTATATCATATACATGGCACACCTTTTTATGTAGTCAGTGTTGACTTTGCAATCCAATCTGTGTTAAATAGGAGTGGTGTGAGTGGGCATCTTTGTCTTGTTTCTGTTATTAGTTTGGGATGATGTTGGCAGTCGATTTGTTGCATATGGCTTTTATTGTGTTGAATACTTTCCTTCTATACCTAATTTGCTAAGAGTCTTTATCAGAAAGCGATGTTGAATTTTATCAAATGCTTTTTCTGCATCTATTGAGATAATCATATGGTTTTTGTCCGTGGTTTGGTTGATGTGATGTGTTACATTTATTGACTTGCATATGTTGAATCAACCTTAAATCTCTGGGATGAATCCCACATGATCATGGTGTATAATTTTTTTGATGTGTTGCTGTATTCTGATTGCTAATATTTTGTTGAGGATTTTTGCATCTATATTCATCAAAGATATTGGCCTGTAGTTTTCTTTTTCTCTTGTATCTTTGGTTTTGTTATCAGGGTGATACTGGCCTCATAGAATGAGTTTGGGAGAGTCACTTCTGTTTCAATTTTTGGAATAGTTTGAAGAAAATTGGTATTAATTCCTCTTCAAGGGTTTGGTAGAATTCAGCAGTAAAGCCATTTGATCCTGGGCTTTTTTCTTTGTTGGGAGACTGATGATTATTTCTTCAGTCTCGTTGCTTGCTATTGGTCTGTTCAGATTTTTTATGTCTTCTTGGTTCAGTCTTGGAAATTTGTGTATGTTCAGATATTTATCCATTTTCTCTAGGTTTTCTAATTTGTTGGCGTGTAGTTATTTATAATAGTATCTAATGATTCTTTGTATTTCTGTGGTATTGTTTGTAATGTCTCCTTTTTCATTTCTGATTTTTGTTATTTGGGTCTTCTATTTTTTTGTTGTTGTTAACCTAGCTAAATGATTTTTCTATTTTATTTATCTTCTCAAAGAATCAACTGTTCACTGCATTGATTTTTTTTTGTATCATTTTTGGGTCTCCATTTCATTTCGTTCTGCTATGATCTTAATTATTTCTTTCCATCTACTAATTTTGGGGTTGGATTGTTCTTGTTTTTCTTGTTCTTTGAGGTGTAGCATTAGGTTGTTTATTTGAAATCTTTCTGTTGTTTTGATGTAAGGTTTATTGCAATAATCTTCTCTCTTAGTACTACTTTTGCAATATCCCACAAGTTTTGGTATGATATGTCTTTATTTTTATTAGTTTCAAGAAATTTTTTGATTTCCTGTTTAATTTCTTCTTGGGCCTGTGAGTCGTTCAGGAGCATGTTGTTTAATTTCTATGTGTTTGTATAGTTTCTGCAGTTTCACTTGTTATTGATTTCTAGTTTTAATCTGTTGTGGTCTGAGGAGATACTTGAAATGATTTAAATTTTTAAAATTTGTTGAGACTCGGTTTGTGACCTGATACGTAGTCTATCCTGGAGAATGTTTTATGTGCTGAGGAGATTAATGTATGTTCTGTAGTTCTTGGATGAAATGTTCTGTACATATCTGCCAAGTCCAGCTGATCAAAAGTGTAGTTTAAATCCTCTGTTTCACTGTTGATTTGTTCCCTAAATGATCTGTGCAATGATGTGAGAGGGTTATTCAGGTCCCCAACTATTATCATATTGGGGTTAATCTCTTTCTTTCAGTCTAATAGTGTTTGCTTTATATATCTGGGTGCTCTGATATTGGGTGCATATATATTTATGACTGTTATTTCTTCTTGATAAAGAGATCCCTTAATCATTATATAATGGCCTCCTTTGTTTCTTTTTATGGTTTTTGGTTTAAAGTCTATTTTATCTGATGTAATAATAGCTACTCCTGTTCGTTTTTGGTTTCTGTTTGCATGGTATATCTTTTTCCATCCTCTCCCTGTTAGTCTGTATGTGTCTTTTGGGATGAAGAGAGTCTCTGTAGACAGCACATAGTTGGGTCTAGCTTTTTAATCCAATCCACTAATCTATGTCTTTTGAGTGGGGAATTTAATGTCTACATATAGGGTTGTTATTGAATGGTATTATCTTACTCTTGATATTTAATTACTTTTCGTATGGTTGATTAAAATATTTTTTGTTTCTTCCCATTTTATTTTTTGTCTTTGGTGTTCACTGGTTTTTTGAAGTGGTACGATATAGTTTCTTTCTCTTTGTTGATCTCTTTCTTGCCTTACCAGTGGTGTTTGTTCTTTCGCATGTATTCATGGTAGTGATTATCATATTTTGGGTTCCAGGTGCAGTACTCCCTTAAGGATTTCTTGTAGATGTGGTTGTGTGATAGTGAACTTCTGCAGCTTTTATTTTTCTGGGAAATACACTATTTCCCCTTCATTTCTGAAGGGTAGCATTGCTGGGTATAGTATTCTTGGCTGGCAGGTTTTTTTTTTTTCCTTTAGTACTTCGGATATATTGTCCCAATCTCTTCTGGCTGTAGAGTTTTGTTGACAAGTCTGCTGTTAGTCTGATTGGGACTCCCTTATAGGTGACTTGACACTTTTCTCTTGCCCTTTTTAGGATTCTCTCTTTGTCTTTGATTTTTGAGTTTGATTACAGTGTGTCTCAGAGAAGACCTTTTTGGACTGAATCTGTTTGGGGACCTTTGAGGCTCTTGGATCGCAAAGCCACTCTATTAATACCTGGGAAGTTTTCTTTTTTTTTTTTTCCTTTTTGTCTTTTTTCGTGTCTGGCAACGGATCGCAACCCTCAGTGTTGTGCCCGCACCGGACCGGGACCGGCAACAGGATCGCAACCCTCGGTGTCGCGCCCGCACCCTGCCCAGCCAGTGAGCAGGAACCGGTCTGTATGTGGGATCCGAACCCACGGCGGGAGCGCCGCCGCGCTCCCAAGCGGCGCACTGTAGGAGTGCGCCACCGGGCCAGCCCTAATACCTGGGAAGTTTTCTGCTATTATTTCATTGAGTATGTTTTCAATGTTTCTCCTGGAACATACATAATTTGGATGTTTCTGTGCTTAAGGTGGTCTGTAGGCTCTCTTAGATTTTCTTCTTCTTTTTCTTTTTTTTGTATTTTTTTTTCTTTTTTGTAATAGACCATTTTTGAGTACAGAAATTCTTTCTTCCATTTGCTCTAGCCTGCCGTTTATGTTCTCAATTGTAGTTTTTATTTTATTGAATGAATCTTTCAGTTCCAAGAGTACATTCTTTTTAATGGTATTTATCTCTTTGTAAATTTCCTCCTTCAAGTCCTGGATTGTTTTTCTCATTTCATTGTGTTGTCTACTTGAGTCTTCTTTTAACTCACTCAATTTGTTTAAGATTTTTAGTTGGAATTCCTTTTCGTACATTTCAGGGGTTTTCTGCTCTATGGGTTCTGGTACTTGAGAATCATGGTCTTCCCTTGGTGGTGTAATATTTCCTTGTTTTTTCATATTTCTAGTCTCTGTATGTTGATTTTTAGTCATCCAGTAGAGCAGTTGCTTTTTCTATTACTCTGGAGTGGGCTTTGAGGAGAGAGGATTTTCTCCTGCAGATGTGTTTTATATTGACCATTGAGTAGTGTTTTAGTGTTGGTTCCAGGTAGACACAGTAGCGTAGTCTCCATGTGGGTACTTCTGCCATATTCATTGTCAGAATTGTGTCTCTTTGGTGTGAGCACTGGAGCAGTTAGTGATTTCTTGCTGAGGTTAGTGACACTGTGTTGGGATGTCGAGAGTTTGGGCAAGCTCTTTCGGTGTTGAGCGAAGTGCCTGTGTTCCTTATCCTTCTTTGGCTGGGATGAGTGACCCGAAGCAGACTGTTGGCTCACCAACTAGTGT